ATAAGAAAACTGGATATCCGTGCTACACGTTCTCTGTGTGTGTTACATTCAGGTGGATCATGACACAAATTTCACAGGAGAGGCAGGTTGCTGCTACTGTATCTGTACACACAGCAAATCTCACCTAGTAATTTTAGGCTTAGACTTTCCATCTTAAACAAACTTGGTTTGTTTGCATTGCAACTTCACAATGTATAGTTGACCAGTCTACCATAACATAACACAGCTGACTGCCTTTCATGCTGAAAAGCTTAAGATACCTGATGTTGTGTAGGGAGTGGAAAATGACCCTGAGTCAAAAATCACTGTGCATTTGCACTTAGATAACAAATGGCAGTTAAATGGTTACATTTTCCTTTATCTTTACGCCTCACTGATCCGGTGCAGCGTAATCAGTGCTACGCATCAGTCAGAACCTGCTAGAGATAAGATCTTTTTACTTAAAAGTGCTAATGAAGTTTTCATAAGTACACATTACTTAGCCCTAGCATCTTTTTCACGACTCCTTCAGAGTTTCACATCCTTCGCTACGTGAATGGAGTAATGCGTAGTAAATATTAAAGCACTGAAGCACTTATTACATTACTCACACCTACAACATTTAGTTTGTTAAAAGACAAGGATAACCTCAGCAGTCAAGTCCAAATTACATTACTGTGATCCTTGATCTGCATCTTAAAGTGTTCCGAGCTCCTCAGGCTGGCTTTAGCATGTGAAACCAACATGTGCAGGCTCCCTGTTTACCTTCCATGCCATCGTTACAGTAATAGTTCACTCAGTGTGTTTGTACACTGGTGGCATTTAAGTTGGCTTTATGAAAGGCAGGTCTATACTGACCTGTATAGTTTATTTCCGCTGTTGATGTTGTTGTTGACCTTCATGCTGGATAAAATATTTCATTATTTTTCTTGAAGTCATGTGATGTGAAGGTTATATTTGTTCTCTGACACATGTGGCTTTTGTTTTAATCTACCCCAGGTTTGTGTATCACTTCTGGTTATTACATTTTGCTGCAGTTCATTGAAATTACATGGTTCTGAGCTGATAAACAACCTTGTGCTCAACAAATATTCAAGTGACTCAGCTCCTTTTCCCGTCCTTCTCCCTGATGCAGTTTGTGTCATTGATTTGCCGCAGCAACACACCTACACAGCCACAAAATATGAATTGGTTTTCAGTTAGAAAATGATTGGTTATAAGAATTGTTTTATTAACTCAGAGAAACCAGGGTTGTTAAAAAAAAAGTGGAAAAACAAAGCCTCTTTTTGTACTGTATTTTTACATTTTGTTTTATGGTTTGCTTTCTTGATTTGGTTTTCTCTTTTCTCCTCCCTGGTTGGAAGTTTATGATCACACAAATGGACCAAATCTCTTGAAAAAATTTAATAAACAAAACCGTTTTAGGAAAAAGAATGTTTTCCCTTTTTCCAAAGCACACAGTTGACATGTTTGGTCATGGGGTAGCTGTGGCTCAGGAGCTGGAGCGGGTCGTCCCCTAACCCTAGGGCCATCGAAATGGCCCTGAGTAAGACACTGAACCCCTAGTTGCTCCTGGTGATGTCAGTGGTGTGTGAATGGGAAATGGTGTGGCATTTAATTCCATCTGTGAAAAACAATAACTGCACCTACAGTGCTATTACCATGTCCTGCTGGGATTAGCGAGGCTTTGTTCACCGCAGTAACAAAGATGTTAAAACCTAAATTCATGTCAAATCCCAGCATCTCACAAAATAGTAAACCAGGACATAATGCCTGCAGCAGGTAGGAACTAAACTGTCTGGGAGATTCTTTGTGGAATTTTATCAAAATGTAGCTAAAGTTCTGATTTCAATCTGTTGGTTACCATCAGGCAGAAGGAATTTGGCAAAAATAAATGAATGAATGAGACAAAAAAATATGTTGAAAAGTATGGGCAACAATCTTTGGAGCCCTGAGGTAAACAATTTATAGATTTGTATAAGTTGTTATTTTCTCATTAAATCTGCAACCTCTTCAATTGTGGGAAAAGTTATTTATTTATTTATTTATTGTTGTAAGGATTTGCAGTCTTACTACTGGCAATGTCTGATGGGGTCACATGCATGAAATATAATAGATTTGGTATAAATTACTAAAATATACACAAAAAACATTGTTTTATCAAATAATGGCACTATGCAGAGCATGTTTTTATACTCAAGATAGGCTTTTTAATAACATATATGATTATGTATCCCATAAAGGCAAAACAAGCATAGTGTGCTAAAGTCCCAAAGTCCTATAATCTCACTCTTTGCTATTGCTGACAACAAACACATTAATTTTCTTTTACAGACCGTCTTGTCCCACTGTCCAGTTGTTAGGGATACTCACAAAACATTATTCTAAATTGTAGTCGCCAGTTGTTAGGGATACTCACAAAACATAAATAATAAATTGTAGTCAGATCAGGCAGATAATGATGATAAAACCTAAATTCATGTCAAATCCCAGAGAACTGCTAAAAAAAAGAAGTGTTTTAATTTGATCATATAGAAGCATGATATCACTTTAAGTAATTTGTGGTCCAGGCAGATAAAATATACACATGACACTGTCATACAACACTAACCTATAAATTTAAACTAGGACAATTTTTGTGGAAACACTGAGAACACTGTATTAAGATGTACCTGTGTGAAAGGCTGTGACTGAATTGTAGTTAAGCATAGCATATAACTGCTCTTGTGCTGCTATGTGTTTTTAAAAAGATGCTGGCCTTTCAAACAGATCTTTTGCTTTACAGAAACCTAAAAGAATGTGGGATGACTTTCGCTGGACTGATTGATTCAGCGTGTTCCCCTAGAGAAAAAAATTATGTGGAGCTTCAAGCAGCACATTTACTTTTCCAGATCTTGATATGTCATCAACTCCAAATGAAGAAGAAAAGGCTGATAACTGAAAGCAAGAACAAAAGTGGATGGTGATTTTATTCAACTTAAATTTCAATGACTTTGGTTTGTTATTAAGCCATATCTGGAGAGTTAGCACCACAGAAGACCAAGGAAATTGCATTTGTCTGTGCTGAGAACCTACAAATTTCTGCTTGAAGGCACCATGTCTATAAGAAAGCAAAGGAAAGAAGAGTGAAAGGACTCGGTTGTTAATTTAGGGAATGTTAACTGCTGACTGAACCAAGTTTGTCCTGACAACCACACACACAGTTTTTGGTGTTTGAATCCATATTTGTGGACTTGAAAAACAAAGTTGTGCTAAGTGTTTAATTTGCTTTTTAAAAGCAAATTCAGAAGAGATTAACTATTAGCTGTATTAGAGGAAACTGTTGCACATAATCCATCTTCAAGCTTTGCAGCCAAACCTCTAGGCCTACTATATGCACAGCTTAATTAATCATAAATAACTTTTTCTTTTATGCATAGCACAGCGATAAAGCATTGCACCTTTTTTTGCATCTGTACATTTGTCAGCTTTATTATTTTTTTATTTGCATCCCAACATCCTCACCCGCTGCCACAGGCAGCAGCACCATCACTTCGCAGGCAAACAAGATCTTTCTGCCCGACATTATCTTCCTCCAGACTCCGCTGGAAAGGAGGTTGAAATGACCGACGCAACCATGGGAGTGAGTTTATTTGCAACCGAAGAAACCGTGTAAGTTTAGAGCGAAGCCGCTGCGTGTGTCTTACTCTTTACTTTCACCGACCCCCTCCTCCTCCGCTGGCAGAAATTTATAAAGAACAAAAAATCCGACGAGGGAGGGAGGGGGGTTGATATACGCCGAGGCTGAAATCGAGAGGCGAACCCAGGGTAAGAGGAGTAATTCGTACACGGGACTTTCCCCCTCTTAGTCCCTCCAAAGGAGGGGGAAAAGTCGCAATATTGGAAACGAAAAGGAATGAACTTCTAAAGGCGTGAAAACGTCTGCAATTGTGGATACTTTATATATTTTTATTTCGAAAAAATATGGCCGAGAACGTTCTGGACTCTGGCCCGCCTTCAGCCAAGAGGCCTAAACTCTCATCTCCGGCACTTTCCGCCTTCAGACAAAAGAACCGGTTAAAATTAAAATAAGTATTGTCTTATGATATTATTTGTTATGGTGTTATTCGGTTAGCTGGTTAGTTATTTTTCGGCGTCTTGGGTTTACTTGAAAGCGGAAGAATACGCTGGATCACTCTTCTGTTTTTGTCGTAGCTTGCTAATATTAGCGTGCTAGTAGTGAGTGTGTGTCGTACGTGAAGAGGAGCTCCCCAGCTAGCTCGCATGCTAACAGCCATTTTAGCCGGAGGTAGCTCTGTTAGCCATTCCGTTAACGTTAGACTAGCTAACTTAATGCGAGTCCTCAATCGGTGGCCTCTTGTCTAATGGCTACTTTAGCCAGGCTGTTCATAAACTCAGTGCGAGGCCAACTTATGATAAAGTTTTTGGTGTCTTACTTGGGCCAAATTGTCAGTCAGCTTCAGGTACCTCCATTCTGTTATTTGAGTTTTTAAGGCGTCTAATGTCTAAAACAATCCGTTGTTTTGCTCCAACATAAGTCCGGCATTCTCCCACTATCGTTAGCTACCATTAATAATGTCAGTGATAGCAGAATTCGACGATGGTGCTAGCGTAGTTGGAGAGCTAAATTTAGGCCCACGGGTCCGACTGATTGTTAAGATCAAATTGCCATTGTTGGTGTGTGTTTTATGGATAGCGTGTGGCAGCAGCTGGAATAGTGGTCTGAGATCAATCTGTGGAGCATGGACAGCGCCATGCCAAGTCAAGTTATTAGGAAAATACTGCTCCAAGCACGAAATAGTCGCCCAGATTTCATCACTTAATCATTCACTCAGTCATTTTACATGAGCAGTTGTATCTTGGATAGTGTGCTAAGCATTACATTGTCATTGGAAGTTAGCATCTGTAGAAAGGGATTTCCACGAATTAACCAGATGTTGCACACACTTACGTTAC